TACCAAAAATTATTCCTAATAAATTTATTCATATACATATATACGTAACTTTTACTTTTAATTATTATTTTCTATTACTTTAAAATATCTTACTTATGATATTGTTAGTAGAAAAACAAAAGGAACAAATGAATTAATTAGAAATGTATCTAATTGAAATTAGTTTCAAAAAAAAGAAAGTGAAAGCAAACTAAGTGGTACAATCATTTTTCAAATTTTTGGAAAAAGATAAAGAAGGAAAAAAGGGAATGAAAAATTCTTCACTACAAATTCATCGAGAGATATAGGATTAGGATTATTCGTATTCATATTATTTTATCCACTCTCTCTCTCTCTCTCTCTCCTCCCTCCCTCTCTCTCTCTCTCTCTTTTCAGGACACAAATCATAATAGTTACATCACTGCAATTCAACACATTTTCTAAAATTCAAGTCTAGAATGGAACAAAATTAATCGATGAGTGGGACATTTGATGCATTTTGTGAATAGAAAATGAGATAAAAAGAAAGGAAGAGAGTGAGAGATATGAATGAGTGCAAGCAAAGAATTTGTTTAATTTCAATAAGAATTTGGCGAATTTTTGAAATGGTAAAGAAATTATTTGAAAAAATTAAATGCAAAAATAAATGAATCAAAAAATAAAAGGAGAGAGAGAAAGAGAGGGAAAGGAGGGGAAAAAATAAAAATGACAGTATGATAGATATACATTTGCATATGAATATGTAAATTAGACTTTAAATATGTATAAAAAATCAACAAAAAAAAAAAAAACAAACAAATCAAACAAAGTTAAACAAAATATGGAGTAATTTGTGAGGAATTTCAAGATTTATGGGAATTTTCAGGTCAGGATTATTTACTTCATAAATACATGCATGTATGTATGTATGTATGTACGTGTGTATGTGTGTATGTGACGCACCAATATTCGCATGTATCTGTCTGTGTCCATGTATGTATGTTATGATAATATATTGATTGTTGGAACAAGTTTGTCAACTGTCAAGTAGTCATCATCATTCAGCATTTCAAATTGAATTGTTGAACAGCGCTGAAGATTTCTATAAATGACTTTAAATTTATCACTTCTTACCATTTCTGCTATTTTTCGTTTTTCCGGAATTATCTGACAACTTTTATTAGGGATATTGCATTCCTAATTTTCTAAATTCATTCAGTTTTATTTCTGAAGAGAATTAATAACAAAATTTCAATATAACACACAAATTAAATGAAATTGTTTTTTCCCTCAGTGTTTAATTATTAATAATAATAATGGCACAAAACAAAACAAAATGAAGTAAACTATATAGACAAACATGTAAGAGCTTACATGCAATACGTGATATAACACGTGACCATACCTGAATAGGTATGTACAAATAGAATAAACATTGTGCATATTTATTTATATATACAATTTGCTGAGAATTCAAAATCAATAGTCAATTGTATGACCCGAAAAAAAAGGAAAAAATGAAGGAACAAAATGAAAGTTTTAACTTTTAAAGCAAAAAAAAAAGGCTTTTCCTATCGAATTTTCTTTTTTTCTCATTCACACAAAGCAATTAAAAAGGAGAGGAAAAGCGGTATAGAATATATGAATTTCAAAAAATTGAAATTAAAAATGATGCCATTTTCATAGTAACACAATACAGCTATAATTCATCACCAATATTAATGTTATCATTCGTTTTTTGTTCGAAAATAAAATAAAATTACAAATACAAAAATCATTGTAAACATTTTGATGTGAAATAAATTGCATTTTCATTTTCATTTTCATCTCATTCACTTATTTGTTTTTTATAGTTTGCAAACAAAAACGAAAAAAAAAAGAAAGAAAATGAGAAAACAAAATAGCAAAAAGATTCATTCATTTCTTCCCATTCATTAGAACTTTTTACATTTATAAAAGGATTGCAAAATAAATTACGAAAAGAAAAATTGATTAAAAAATAAATGAAATTGTTATTCAAAGAAAAAAAAAATATTATTATTCAAAAATCACTTATTCGAAATTAACCAAAAATTATTCAAAATTATTCAAATATTTTTCAAAAAAAATTATCCGAAATTAACCAAAAATTATTCAAAAAAATGTTCAAAGTAATTGCAAAATACATGTTAATTGTAATTATCATATGAAATTAACTAATAAATGAATAAAAAAATTCATAATATTAATAAATCGTAAAAAATAAATAGAAGATTGCAAATTTTGTTCAACGATCGAGCAAGATTATTGTTTCACTTAATCGATCAGGAAAAATATTATTGATTTTAACCAATTGATCACAGAAAATGTTATTGATTTTATTTAGTTGATCAGAGAGAATATGAACAATGTCATTGTCATCTATTTGTCTCTATAAACAATTATTTTTGAAATAAATTATATTTCATTTTAACTATACAATTATTCATTCCATACTTTTTTGTCTTTCGCTTTTTTCCTTACAGAAACTTCCATATTTCCAAACAAAAAAGAAAATGAAAAAACATCAAATTCAAATACTTATGTGTTTAGTTCTTTTTTTTTTTGTTAACATTTCAAACACATTTTGTCGAAAAATTTTGCATCTGACAATTCATATGCAACATTTTCCATATTCACAGCACTTTACAGTTTGCATTGCATTATATTGTCAAAAAAAAGATTAAATTTTTTGAAAATGTATTCGAAATCTGGCCAAAATTATCCCATATTTTAAAATCAAACTGATAATCGGAAATTGTCAGTGAATATTCTGGTGTAAAAAAAAAGAATTACAGTGAGAATCTCTGATTATTTTTAACGTTTAAAATTTTCAGAAAATCTCTGCCTTGATGACAACGACATTTAATGAAAAAACGTATACGGAAGGAAATTTTTCATATATACTTTTTTCCTTTCTTTTTGAAGAAACCAATTAATTTGATAAACTATTTATCTTTTTTATTGATATCGTTACAAAGTAAAATATATTATCGCCGAGTTTAGATTCAGTGTCTAATTCCATATAAGTGATAAATGTAAAATTCAAAGGAAATTTGTTAAATCATTTCAAAACTCACCCTTGATGACCGAATATCACTTCATTGACAAATCAAATTTTATTAAATCATTGTTGAATGATTTGCAAATTGTGAAGAGTTATTATATTTTACTTATCACTTATTAATAGTTATAATTAGAAGTTTATTGAAGGTTTATACAATACTTTTTTTCTTTTTCCAATGAGTAATATGAAAAAAATGTATTTGAATGAGCATTAAATAAAAAAAGTTACATCAAGTGACTACTTTTCAGTAATATCAAAGGAAAAAATGATATCAGGAATACTAAAATATTTCAGATCAGGTAAATCCTATAATTTTTTCAGCATAAAAAAAGAAAGGAAATTTGATAACTGGAACTAAAACTCCATGGAAAATAGGGTTTTAAATTTCTTCTAAGAATTAATAATTGTAATCCAATCTACAATATTCGAAAATTTTTAGAAATTGAATTATGTTGCATATTCTTCAAATGCAACCTCAAGTTTGAATCAAGATATTAAAATATGCAAGTTAAACACTCTAACTTTTGATCTTTTCAATGAACAAGTAATCAAGGATTGGCATTTATATTATCTTTCCAATCCTTTCTTTTTTTCTGATCAAAGATTTTTGAAAATTTATTGCGTTTTTTTTCTTAAGTAATAACGTTAGCATTATTGAAAAGTTAATAAAAACTACGAACTAATAATTCTGAATGAAAAAGGATACAGCTATGTGGTAATGATTCATACGATAGATTTTCAGTATGTTTCAAAAAATCCATAAAAAACATGCAATTTTAAAAGTCATAAATTTACTTTGTAAAAGTTATACGTTTAATCACAAATGTGTTAAAATAAAAAAGAAAAGAACAAAACTGCGCACGCATAAACAAAAATATAACAAAAGAGAATTTTACAGAAAATAGCACATATATACTAAGTAATAACACTATCACAATGAATGAAAATGTTTATCACTTATCATCATCACTACTGCTTACCATTCGCTTAGAAAAATCAAACTCATAACAGTATCAATTTTAACAATAAAGTAAATCGTTCATTCCTGCATATAACAAAACTTGAGGATTAAATTTACCGCAGAAAATAAAATATGTTCATTTAAACATTCGTAAAGTATCAGAGATATTTTGGTATGACTAGGATGCAAAAATGTATGACAATTATCCATTAAAGTACAAGTATTCCTGAGACTAAATTATAATTAGGATGACTTACTTATATGAGCAATTATTCAAGGTAAGCTATCGTACAGTTGAAAATCTTTGAGCTATAAGAAAAACCAAAAATATATAGAAATAAACAAACCCTTTTTTTTTCTTTTTTTTAGTAACATAAAATAATATAACAGTGTAAAAACATGAAGCAATTATAGACGAAAGGAAAAAGCAATAGAAGAAAGAAAAAAAAAAGAAAATATGACTAGCATTAGAAAATTAAATTTATTTCAAGAATGCAAGAAAAAAAGAGAAAAGAAAAAAAAAATGAAAATGTTATAAAATCATAATTCATTTCATTTTGTATTACTATAACAGAATAACGAAATAATTCCAGGTGAAAGACAAAATGATGTAGTATGAGGTGCTCTCATTATATTAACAAAAATATTCACCTAGAAAACACAATCTTATCACTAAATCAAATAGCACAATTTAATCAGTGCTGGTAATAGAAATATATCCAGAATATTTCAAATATACCAAAACAATTATTACTATTATTATTATTTATAGTAATCCTATGCTGGTCATTTAGTCATAAAATTAATTTACCTTATCACTTAGCATTATTATTTGATGGACAATGATTTTTCTCACATTATCAATGTTAGCACAACAAATATTACAACAGGGTATGTTATAGAAGCAAATAAGAAATAGTACTGTTAACAAAAAAAAAATTCTAATTCAAATATTTTTTTAAATTCAATCAACACATGAAAAATGCAAAAGATTAATTAATTCATCGAAATTGTGTGAAACTTTTGGTGAAGTTCGTTCGCATCATTTTGTCGTTCCGATAAATCCTCCGCCTCATCATCGATTTTCGTCTCCGAAAGATCATTTGTTCTAAAAGATAACTCCCTCATTAAACGTTAATTATAACTTCCACAGTAAAAGAATTCTAATTCTTTGTCATACACTCAGTATATTATTGGTGCTCCTTGCAAGATTATTGCATGCCTCAATATTATTTGTTCTTATTATCATTATTATTTCATTTTCTTTTCTTTTTTGGAATAGCTCATTTCAAGGAGCTTCGATCTCTTGATTTCGTAATAAAATGTTCTTTTCATACCCAGTCCTTCTAACATTTTTAAAAAAAAACTAACGATTCGAGTCCTTCTGGAAGTATGCCCAATCTGAAAAATGTATTCCTCTTTTTAATTCAAATTTTGCAACTGTTTCAATTAGATGAAAATCTTGGAATTGTCATTTCCTTAAAATCTCAACAGCACTTTAACTGGTAGCACTCTTTAAAAAAAACATTGCATGCTCTTTTATTTTTAATCCTAATATATAATAAGATCAAATAATTAGCACAAATGTCAAGTTAGAAGAATATTTACTTTTTCATAAATACCATTCAATAAAGCCATATTTTTAACAAGCTTTCAAAAAATTAGATATGAAAACATACGAACTGTGCCGCGAATGCTGACTAAAACGCGAATGATAATGGAGATTTTCGGCTGACATATCAGCTACATTAACAACCAAAAAATTCATTATATCAGATAAAGAAATCAAACCCTGTAAAGAAGATAAACTATTAAATTAAATAATTTGAGAAAGTGAGAACTTATAAGAGGATATTGGGTTTCTTCACATAATAAAATAAATATATGATCATTTAAGAGGAACGACAATGTCACTGCCTATGACATGCAAGATCAATTAAAATCTGAAATCATTTGTATTGTTACATTTGAAGAATTACTATTCTTTAAATCTACTCTAACCACCAAATCAATAATAGCATGAACCTTATATATTCTATAATTTTATTAACTTTAGACATGATGTAAAATATTCAAAATATAAAAACTAGAAATTACCTCAATTGCGCCATTATCTTTCAAAACACAAAGTCGATGAACATTCCTTTCAACAAGTACTGTAATCGCTGTCCACAATGAATCATTTACTGATATTGAAACGACACGATCTTTCTCAAGCTATAAAAAAGCAAAAAATAAATAATTTATAAAAATGTCAAAATTGGTAAACATTTTGAAAAAGCTGTTTTTGGGTGATCCTTTTCAACATTGAACGATTTTAAATTTCATTTAATTTCTAAAGAAATCAACCGAATTATTGTTATTATTAATAGAGATGATTTTTATATTCCTGCATAAAACTTTATATATATATATCAAGAAATAAACTGAACCCTGAAAGTGTTCCGGAAAGCTAGTGCTTCTTCAACCGTTACATCAAGCTCATCAATTTTATCCTCTAACGCTACACCAATCGCATCGAATCGTGAATACATATCCACAACCCGGAATGTATTATGCTCCACAACTGGGACACCGCTAACACCCTTATTTAGCAATATATCAAGACATAAAATTAAAGATGTATCCGGATAGACCTGAAATGTGAGATAAATTATAGGTTATACTTGTTGTGAACCTAATATATCTCAAGCATTTATTTATGCACTATAATTACTTCACTTCGATATAAAGTTCCTACTCCACTAGTAAAACTGGTGGTAATTTCTAATTCTGCTGATTTCTTAGAATGATACTCATGACCAACTGAACAATATGGCTCATTCTTCAGTCTATCTGTGATAGCATCTGCTACGACATTTATTTAGTACAAAATTTCATTTAGCTTAGAAAAGTAGATTTTTTCCATCATCAAATCTCTTTATTTTGATAAAGAATTTTTGAGAAAAAACCATTGAAAACAAAAAAAAGAAAAAAAAAAACCTTTCTTTATCATGAATACTTCATGTTAATATATGTCAAATAAAAACAAAATTCTAAACAAACTTTTTTCTAACTAAATGTATTCCACTTCTTGTTCAAATGAATGCTTTCTTTATCTTTTTTCGAGAAATATATTTACTTCATAGAGTTTAGAAACTATTTGAAATACTTACCACACGTATACCATCATATGTGCCAACACCAAGCTCTTTACATGTTTTATTATGATAACCAGGAATGTAAAGTGATTGACCCTACAATAAAGAAAATATGACCAATAAAGAATAAATAACAATACCTGAAGACAAAATGAACACTGACTATAGCCAAGTAATACAATACTAACAGTTCTGCTAGGATTAATATTACGGAATGTATCTGTTTGTTATGCTTAACACATTTCTTAGTAACTCTTCTAGCCGGAATAAAGTTTATTTAATTCTCCAAAGTTCACTCAACTTAGCAGCAAAAATTACCTCAAATTTAGTCTCTTTCTACACTAAGTAACATCAAGCTGGCATCCAATCTACATAAAGAAAAAAAAAAAAAAAAGAAAACAATGTCCATAAACGCCTACATAAAAATTTGAAGGAAAATAAAGATGATCGATAAATAATAATATAATACAATAAACAAATAACTTACGAAAAGCCACAAAAATTTTAGAATTCGTTTATGAGTCAAAATGAACAATGGACTTCCATCATTTGGATCTAACACTGGCAAACGATGTATATGTTGTTTGCTGAGTAAAAAAGCCGCTTTTAATAAACTGAAATTAACAGACAATGAAGGAATAACTTAAGTATAACGTATTCCAGAAATAGTAAAATATAAAGAATTATAGAGAATTACAGAACTATTTTGGAAATTGATTCGAAGAATCTTACCCATAAACAGTTCTATAAAATAAGTATCTCACATTTGAATCCTGAAGATTGGACAAATTCAAAAACTATTTGCTCGAAATTTTATAAGAAATATCTTTCATAAAATTCCAAATTGCGCCGAAAACCAATTTTGAAATTTAAAAGCTTCTCACAAAAACAAACCCACTTTATTTGGTAAGAGAGTTTGTTTTGATAAATACATATACCTTTCTTCTGCAGTTATTGATACAAGATCCATTAATTTCCCTTCACGGCATACCAAATCTATAAAAGAAAAAAAAAAATTTACGGCAAATACACAAAACTAATGAATAAAATTGCCAAACATTAATATAACCTGTTTACATTTTGGAAATGGTTTTTAATTTGCAAATTATGATTTCATCCAGAAAGACCAATTTAGAAAGAATTGAAAATGAAATAAAAACCTCGATATTCGGATATGGTAAGGGTTCCGATGTCTTCGTTTGGTGCATTTATTACAGCATCCGCCACATCTTCTATTATTTTCTTTTCTTTCTGACATTCATCATTAAATTTTAAATTCGTATTTTTATCTATATCATCCTTAATTATTGCAGAATTTTTCTCTCCTTCGCATACAGCTCCTTTTTGCTCATCTTTTCTCTCTTTTTTCATCCTGAAAAGAAAGAACAATAAAGAATAACAAACAAAAAAAAAAAGTATCCGGAAAAATCATGATAGAATTTCACATTTTTGTAATTGACCTTAGTCGGCTCAGAGATGAAATCTCAAAATATAGCAAACCTAACCTAATAGTTTTGGTTTTAAATAATAACCGCACTAACCATGCATTTTTTTTTTGGAATGCGATTTATCCTGAAATAGTGAGGTATAGCAAAAGAATGGCCGGCAGTTAAGTTTGCCGCAATATTTTGAAGTGTGAGATTTGAAATCTTAGATACTAAAAAAGTTTACTTGTGTAATAACAAAAGGACCCGGATAAAATCTGTCACAGATAATATACCAACAATTGCATTATTTTTAGCTGAATCCGATAACAATACATGTCGTGTATCTGTAAGTAAATTATTCATAAATATTATTTTAACAACTATTTACTTGGAATAGAAGATGAATTCATTTTCAATCTAAATTAAAGAGAAGTAAGGTGAAATTTTTTCAGAAACTATTTTTGGCATCCAACACTTCAGGAAAAAAATTTTATCTGTGACGAACAAATATGCTTTTTACGAATGAAACTTCATAAATAAATAAAAAAAAACAAAAAAAAAAAAACAAACAAACAGTAATTTAGGTAGGTTTCAATTCCCATGAAACTAATTAATCAGATATAGTGGAATTCGATATATAAGATATAAAAGGTCAGATCACAATTTTGATGTCATGGGAGCCAGTGTAAAGAATTTATAAAAGTAACATGTACAAAATTTAATAATATAAGAATGTTCCATTACAGTAATAATTAAATTTAATAAATCTAAGCAAATAGATGAACTATAAAAATAAAACAGCTCATTTTCAAAATCCCTACAAATCATTATTAAATTTAAAACTTACTTTGATATATAAGACCATTAAACGCTTTTTTGAGTTGCAACTTAGTGTCAAAAACAACCATTTTAGAACTTGTTGGCATTGCTTCATAACAAGCATTAAATTGCATCAAATGAACATAATTTAATTTCGCATCTGAACTATTCTGCATATTTGAACTGTGCTGTGAAATGCCAATCGTTGATGAAGCGTCAGTTTCCCGACAAGTTGAACTAAATCTGAAAAAAAAAAAACAATTTAAAATGAATTAAGAAGCTTTACATCCGAAAATTACTAAAATTGTCATTTTTTGGTAGTTATCGAAAATTAAGACTCAAATTTTTGATTACTATATGCAGATAAGTTCAAAAATCTCCTTAATATTATAGCAATAAATAATACTATAGTAAAAGTGAAATAGTAAGATATTGAAAAATTGATTTCCCATTCTGAATACAAGAAAACAGAACAAAATAAAGAAAAAAGAAACAAAGAAATAGAAATAATAATAAAACGTTTTTTTCTGTTTCTATTTGCTTCCTTCTAGAAATCATAAATAAGTAACAGAATGATTCTTTTTCTATTATGCATTTATATTTTTTCCTTTCTCTTCATCCAAATTACCATATTCCTATTTAAATCACTAAAAATATCATCCTGTTATTAATATTATAACAATTCTAAACATAAAAAATTTGATCCTAGTGAAGTTAAACTATTTGTAGTATAAAAATGACTTATACGATGAACAAATATGTAATTATTGTTACATCGCCGAATATTCCTAGTAAATATGTGATATATACTCTAATTTATAATCTAACTTCTTAACTTACAATAGTAATAATATAAAGCATAGAAATCAAAAACAAAGAGTTGTTTTCAAAATGAAAGTGTTTAGATAGAGAAAATTCACAGGCAAGCTCGTATAGCAATAGATCGATACGCATTGCTTTGGAAACAGCAAATCAGTGAGCGATCATAAATTGAAACAGCTGAGGAGAAAAAGAAAAAAAAAAAAAACTCTAAAATTTTATCTAATACAAAACAAACTAACTAACTAACTTGAAAGATTCATTAGCAACCTGAAACCTTATTATTTGTTTTAGTTTTATTATATAATTACATAAGATATTTAGTTTTGAGTTAATTCTTGAACATTTGTCTTCTTTTAGAAATACAATGCATAACATTTCACTTATATAATAGCAAACAAAATAAATTTGTCACAGGCAAATCACATACGAAATCTAAAATTAAAAGAATAATTCCATGTTAAATGTAAAAATTAGTTTTAAAACAGTGAATTCATCATAGCTACTGAATTAAAGTTTGAAAAACAAATATCTACTGAAATACATCTACTAGATAGCAAAATAAATAATAATTTAAGCAAATTAAAATTAACAAAAGTTTCAAGCATAAAATAATAGCAATAAAGTTAGATCTGAGCAAATTTGATTCAGACAGTTCTAATTGAATGCAAAAACTGAGAAGTGAAAATGTAGTGAAAAAAAAAATGAAATTTACACAAGACTTAGTACAATGTATGCAAATGGAAAACTTTTTTTTTTTTATTTATATAAAATTCCAACAAGTCGAAATATAATTAAGAGCATATTTCAAACAACTTATAAAATTATCAAAAACCTTTAGAAATTTAGAAAATATGTAAAAAAATTTTAAAAAAACCTCTGCTTTATGCGTGTTAAATGATAATTATTCATACGCAATTACTATAAGAAAATAACTGAAATTACAAATATCATTCTATTTTCAAATTGTTATTCACAAATAGATGTGTGATAACAATCAAAACAGTAACAAATACACATATTTGTGATGGATAAAACTAACTCAATACTTAAGATTCAATAATGATTACAATCGATAAATAACGTTAAATTGTTAACAATTGCTCAAATTATTTCCATTAATTGTTGTAGTAAGCATAAAGTATAAATGAAAAAAAATGTTTACAAAAGATTTGAAGTATAATATCCAGCAGATACAATTGATATGTGCATCAGAGTAAAAAATCACACTGTATCATTAGCTAAAAATCAGATAAATATAAGATATATAATTCGAATCAGATGATAACGCAAAACAATTAAAATAAAATATTCTAGAAAAGACATTTCAGATATCTCTTAAAAGATTTTTTTTTCCTATTCAGCAAATATGCTTGCTGAAGCTTTCGTTTCACATATATTTACTATATTAATAATAATTAACAACTAATTAGTAGTAATAATAATGATAATAATAATAAATAATAATAGCTTCGTTGCAAAATATCATATTGATTTAATCAGGTAGAGTCAACATACTATAGTTTAATTTATTCTTCAAATGCAGCACTACCAATTCTTATTTTTCAATGTCAAATATCTTTCAGTGTTAAAATATCCATTATCAAAAGATTACAAAAAAAAAAAAAAAGGAAAAGAAAAAATAAAATAAATAATAGAAAAACTCTATTTTATCTAAATTTTCATATACAAAAAAAAAAAAAAATAATTCATAGAATTGTATTTATTTTATCATACAAATTTTATTTCTACTCTAACTAATCATTTTGTCATCATTTTTCTTTTTTTTTTTTCATAATGCTATCATTTGAATGCAACAATGCTATGCTAATCCATAATAAATCAGCAATGATGCTTGACCATAGCTAAACGAAATAAACGCACAACAAAAATTGACAAAAATTCTCAAAAACTATTTATCACTTTCTATCTCCTCTTCTTATTATCACTTTACTTTTTTCCTTAGTTTAGCAAAACTAAAAAAAAAAAAAGAAAAAGTTGGTAGGATCATTGGTGTTATACTCGTTTTAGCTCTTTTCTATGTCGGTTTTTTACTTTGTTACATATGGATTCTAAAAAGTTTCTCCTATATTCTAGAAAATCTTACAAAATCCACAACTGATAGTCTTATTTCTCGATTACATTACTATTAATCTGTTCGTAAGCTATCAGTAGTGTAATTAGATAATAAGAATATAATTTTTGAAATTTCTCATCCTTCTACTACTATTTTAATCGTTTTCTCTATCACCTATGTAAACACTGATATATATATATATATAATTCCAACTTCATAAATAATTTATTCCTATGAGAAAATGCAGAAATTTCATTTCCTATCTCGTCTCATTTAATATTCTCGCAAAAAAAAAAAAAAAAAATTACTATTTAAAATTCCTTCGGAAAATTCAAATGTTGAATTTTTGCTAATGTGAGAATAGCAAATAATAAGACTTTTCTAATAAAAAAAAGACGACGCAACACAAAGTTAATCTTAATCATATTTCTGCTTGAATTATCTCTTTTCACCTCATTTTTTCCAACAATCAATAAAAATAAGCGAAGTTAAAATTTTGAAGCTTATACAGCATTATATAATGCAATGATGGAAAATATTAAATTACGTAGTTGTTGGAAGGATAGAAAAAGAGGTTTAGAAGATATTTACAAAATATTTAAAATACAAGAGCCTGGATAAATTTTTATGCATTATTGAAAAAAAAGTGATAGTAACTTCATAAATGATTGTTATTTTTGTAAATGAAAAACTAGTTTTCTGTGCGATAATAGACTTCTAAATTTTCTAGATGATCTCTGAACAACAAAACATTCCAAAAATTGATAATTAAAATGGAATTGATGTCAACAAGAAAAAAAAAGAAAACGAAAATGCAAACAACTACTAAATTACCTTACGGTATTTGAAGGAATATTTCGATGTGAAGAATTTCGAAGTTGGATAACATTCACCTTCTCTTGTACTGATTTCGAAACAACAGAACTGAAAATTAATTTTACAGTTAAATACTTGGGCACAAAATATGTTGCTAATAATTATAATTCTATAATATTAGATTTGCAATAAATGAAACAAATTAACATACAAATTAATATAATTAAAATTCATTTCGTTTTGTTTTCAATATTAGATAATTTGACAATAAATAAACTGAAGTATAAAATGTACATGATGAAACAATAAAGCACTAATTTTACAAAACAATTTATGAAATAGTCATGGTTAAAACAGGACTTTTTTTTGACCGAAATTGCAACTCAAGTTTGTCTAGAATATTCAAGATTTATAAAATAAGCAGAATTCAGAAAAGAACGTTTAAAATTCAGAATGAAAATGACTGCACACAAAATATAGGACAAGGTTATCCTTAAAAACATCATGATTACAATCTATTATATTGAAGCAATCCACTTATGCGATTTAGATGAGGAAGCAAAGCGATAAATCCAACAAGCCTTAAAGAGATATGCACCAATTCTAAGAAATTCAGCAATTAATTTGAAAACAAAAAGATGAGAAATGTAAGCTGAGACAAATGGCAATCGATTCTTGAAATAGTAATAATCCTGTCAACATCATTTCATCTATTTGAACAGAACAACATAATGAGATCAAGTTGAAGCAATAAAATCTTCAAAAAGATGTTTACATGCCAACCATCAGCCATTATACACAAAAACATTACTTTCTTTATCTGAAACTAACACAAATATAGTATTCCTTAATTAATAACAATACCTTTCATTATCACCAGTATCTTTTCGAAAAGCACTCAATCTTCGTCGCAAGGTACGTCCCATTGAGTTAGTCCATGTTCTCGAACCTGATGCTGAATTTTTTGCATCATTATCATCCACCTCTTCATTATTCTTCTCGGCATCAAGTTCAATTTTTGTGAAACTTGCGCTCTTCCTGAAATATAAATCATATAAAAAAAAAAAATTCTTCCATTTCAGTTTCTCTAAAACCTAATTTTTCCATCTCTTTTTTCTTTCCTCTTCTTTGTAGACAAAACTTTTTCCTAAACTAATGCATTACTCTTAAGTGATACTGTCGTATAACATCAATATATTATTTAATACATTACGAAAAAAAAAAAGCTAAGGCATAAATAATTCTGCACACAGCACTAAAATTTCTAATTTCATTTCTAAAAGTGGTCAATATCAGTAAAAAAAAAACCAAAAAAAAAAATTAAATTACTTGAGAAAATTCATCTGGTTTTACTAATTTTTTTAAAAAAAAACCAGAACGAATAGCTTTACACTTACTAATCATTCAATGCAATTTAGCAATAATTAGGTCGAAAAAAAAAATAGGAAGATCAAATGACTTGCCATTTAAAAATATCGTCAACATACTATTTTCAGAAGGAATACAACAAAATGTATTCGTTTAGGATCACTTCAGTGATAATTATCACATCAGTTTCAGTGTTATCATAGAATAAACGAGAAAAAAGAACATATATTACAAAAATTCTTTTCCATCACTACTTTAGTTATCACCTATAAATTTTTGATATTTTGCAAAAAATTTTGAAACAACCTCCGAAAAATTCGATGCTTCAACTGACCCATTGATGTACGACGATGCGACATAATTAATCAATCCTTATCGATAATTCGAATTTCCGACGACGGTATCCCTTCAAATGACTGCAATACAAAAAAAAAAAAAAAAAAAAGAAAGAAAAAAACAATTTCGATGATTTATTAATTCTCATTATATTATTTTACGGACTGTAAAGGTCAAAGAACAAGTATAGAATACTGATATAAATTGATCGCATAATAAATAATGGATAAATATGCATAATGAACAAATGCTAATTAATGATTAACAAATATGGTTAGCATTTTTTTTCTATCAAAAATTACGAATGACATAATATTTGACGATCATTCATCACATGGATATTAAACTTATAGCAAATTTCTAATATATGACATAATTATGAAAAATCGACAAAGGAAAAGGGAGAGAGAGATAAAAAGAAAAATATATGTAATATATTAATGTGCGCATGTATACGTATAACATAATTTAGAAATGAGGAAGGAAATATAATTATGGTGGATTAGTCATTCTTATCCATTTCATTTTATTCCTTCTTTCTTTTTCCTTCCTTCCTTCGTCTTTCTTTTCTTTTTATCGTTTTAATTCAAAAAAACAAAAATTGCATTCTTCCTCTTCTCTGTTCAAAATTTTGCAATCTTTTAATTGATCTAAAATGAAATGAGAAAAAATTTTATATTTTCCTGCTGTCCTTACCTATCTTTCTCTTCCTCTTTGTCTCTCTCTCTCTCTCTCTCTTTCTTTCTTCATCCTTTTTCCTTCTATTAATAAAACAATATATTATTGCTGAAAGAGCTGCAAAAACAAATCGATTTTATAAAGATCACCTTAGGTCCATCGTACCAGGAAAACAAATGATACCAAAATAATAACAAATTTTTCCTTCCTCTTTGATTTTCCGCAAAAATTTCGGTTTATAGCCCTCTTTTTCTTTTGTCTTTTTTTGTGACTATTTAATTTTAATGTGTCATTTCATAATTTTGTTATGAAAATTCGGTTAGTCATATCAGAATTTGTAAAAACTTACGGATTGTTCAGCATTGCCCGTTTCATCTCTTCCAGTGTTTATTTTCCATTTTCTTTCTTTCTTTCTCTCTCTCTCTCTCCGCCTTTTCAAAGTAATCTTAATTAACTAACACTTTTTTGATTATTTAATAATAGATATCAACGATAACCTCTAACAAAATTCCTAAATTAGTTTTCGACTGCTATTTTTTATGAATAAAAAATGTCCTCAAAAAAAAAAGAAAAAAAGAAAAAGAAAGATTGCAATGATAAGAAAGACGAGTAAGATGTAATCACTAACAAGTTTAAAGAAAAAAAATTCTTATCAATCATTAAAAATTTTATTTAAAAAAAAATGACCCATTAATTAGTAACTAATAACAATAATCAATATCACATGAAAATGTAAATAAATTGTGCAAATAAAACAAAGCAATTAATCTCACATAATAAACATAATATATATATATATATAAATATAATTTCGAAAAAAAAGAAAAAGCGTCAATTTTGTTATTACTAGCTAAAACACATCACAAACATTCCATTCCCAAAGAAAAATCGATGTTATAAAGTGAAATCTTATAAATGAATAGAAAAAGAAAAGGAAGAAAAAAAACTTCAATTCTAATTTATTAGAACAGAAAACTTAATTCATTTATAACTATTATGAAATAAAGAATAAATGGAATTAATTTTTAATCATAAATGAAGGAATGATCAAAATTCTTTCATAATGATTAGAGAAAAATTATAATTTCTAATATATAAAATGAAAAAAAAAAATATATAAGGAATGTATAAATACGAAAAAAAGAAATCGATTACTGATAGTACATATAATTATTAAATCTTAAGTAGTTTTCGAATTGAACATGAACCTACTGTTAAGTCATATCTTACACGCATACATCAAATATACGTATACACGTAAGCGTGTGCGCACGTGTATAGAACTTATATTTAAAAAAAAGTGCAAAATGAATGAAATGTTCGCATTCATTCTCACTTCATTGCTAATTTTAACAAATAAGAGGAAGAGAGAATGAATGAAAAAGAGAGAGAGGGAGAATGGTAGAGGGAGAGAAAAAAGAATGGGGACAAAGGTGGGAGAATTAGAAAGAGAGAGGGAAGAAAGAAAGGAAGGAAGAGGAAAGGATGAATAGAACATAAAAGGAAACATGTTTTGTTATCTTCTATTCCAGTATCGTTTTCTCAGTTTTTTCTCTGACCTTTCTTATTCTAACACTCTCTTCATTTATCATCAATCTTAACTGTTTGATACAATGCATTGTTTATTGCATTTTTTTATTCTCTCTCAACATCATGTTTTCATGCACTCTTTTCAATAAATTCTTTTTTCTTTTCTTCATATTATCTCTTAAAATTATCAAACTATTTTGTATAGTTTTATTTTCCTCTTTCAGACATTTCTATATATGTTATATATATTGTTTCTTTCATTAAGACTTCCCTTTTTCTTTTCTTCCGTATCTTTTAAAATTATTTAAACCAAGCTTTATGATTACTTTTCATTAATCCACGCTTAGTCTTTTTCTTTTTCACTCTCTCTTTCTCCCTCTCCCTACTCATTTTTAAAATTTATCTTTTTATTCCACCAAATAATCACAACGATAATCTCATTGGAATAAAATGACAACATGTTATCATCCTTTTCCTAACATTACATTGATTTTTTTTTTGTTTACAATTATATTATTTCTTATAATAAAAATAACCTTTAAAAGTATTTTTAAATTATTATTAAATTCAAAAAAACGAAATCAAAAAACTAAAAAATAAAAACCAATCATAAAAATCAGTGAAATATATATAAGTTTGCAAAGAAAACAATTATTTAAAATAAAGAACAAAAAGAAAAAGGATGAAAAGTAAAAAAAAAAAAAAAAAAAACAGCGGAAAAAATTTGTCAAAAGTTTAACAAATTAAAAAGAAAGGAAAAAATAGATGAATTAGTGTGTTAATTAGGATGAAACGAATTGAATACACACATCAATGCTTTCATGTAAAATTCTTCCTTTTCTTTTTTTTTTTTTTTTTTTCTCTTTTCTTTCTCTATTTTTTACATCATTTTAATGTATGATTCATGTATCAATAAAATATATTTACTTTCTTTCCTGTTCTTTTTTTTCTACCTTTCTTTCTGCTCTTTCTCTTTCCTTTCATTTCTTTTTAAGTTTACTTGAAACCAGGCAAAATAATTAATTTTATTTAATAATAAAAAAGAAAGAAAGAAAAAACAAACAAATAGTAATTAAATATTATGAAAAATATTTTTTGAATTTTTAATGAAAAAAGATAATTGTATTAAATTAAGAAAGATATGAAAAGGAGGAAGAAAGAGGGAGAGGGAGAGAGAAAAAAGAGAAAAAGAAAAGAAAGAAAAAAGAAGTGAATCATTTTATAATAAACAATCATAGATTTTTTTCCCTTTGTTTTTGTTTTAAACATCATTTATATAATTATAAATAATTGCTGAAGAAAAATAAATGGGATGGAAAGAAGAGAAAGAATATCAAAAATTATTTACCATATAATTTCATTCTTTTAACTATCAATTATTTCAAATATTTACTCATTATATTTGTTAATGTTAATAAAATATATAACTATTTAAATCCTATCAACTTCATTAGAAATATTAAATTCATTACATGTATTAAATGTTTTAAAAAAAATTATATAACTATAATGCATACTATGTGCAAATTAAATTTCAAATTGTAAAGTAAAATTTGAGTAAGTAAATGAGTATGAATATGAAGGATGAATGTGTGAAGAATAAAGAATAAAAAATGAAGAAATGAGTATGAATAAGGGATGGTTTGAAATTTGATACACATGGATAAAAATTTCATTACTGGGTTCCTCATTTTAACAACATATTTTTTTTAAAAAAAAAAAAAAGAAAAAAATTGTATAAACAGTTGTTGAGTTTAGCTTTTTAAAATGAAGCAAAAATATTTGCGAAACTAAGAAAGTTTAACTTCAATTATTAGCAAAAAGAATAAATAATGTTTTCGTGGATTTTTAAGATATTGTTTAACTTCATTTATCTTAATTAAATAGAGCAACGGTTTTGAATGATGAAAGATGAAATTAAAATGATGAGATTAATTTTCAAAAGAAACGCAATAGTTGTTCAAACAGGAATGATACAATGATTTTAAAATCGTAGCTTATTTTCTGGTCACGAAAAAAGGATAGAAAAAGAGAAGGAAAGAAAAATAATATTTATATTTGTATTAATATAGTTTGCTTAGTGAAATGTTTTAATAGAAATTTTTTTTTGCCTTCATTTTAAATTTTTAATAGGGAATTTTTCTTTCGACTTCTGACTCAAATTTTGTAAATGTAAATGAATTCTGCTGCAAAAATGAAATATTTATTAGTAAACTGATTTTTCTTATCCACCATGACAAATATAAACAACGCAAATAAATTATTTCAAATAAACTAAAATTTAAAAAAAAAGAGTAAAAGAAAAAAAAACCAACTTTTTAATCAAGAAATGATGATGGGTAAAAGTATTGTTTTTGAGATAAATTTAATTGCAATAATTTGATCATCAACTTGATGACATGTTAGGACACTTATAAAATGAGAAAAAAATTTGAAAAAAAGGTTTAATTTTCCGAAGATGCTCGATTACAAGACAAATAAAAACTAAATGCAAAAATTTTGAAAAAAAATTTGCTTCCTTTCACATACACACATTACAGTATGACAAATTATAGTTATTGATACATACAAGATTAGCTATGCTAATAAATGATAAAACTTTTTGTTGACTGACTGACTGAAAGACCAAAAAAGAAAGAAAAAAACTTTCTTGATGTGATGTGCTGCCACAATTGCTATTTAATAATACATAGACAAATTTGAATTCAATGAAAGAAAAGAATAACAAATGAATGGTGAGATGATGACGATAATAATAATAATAATAATAATAATAATAATAATAATAATAATA